ATATATATTTTTAAAAGTCTCTGATTTAAAAACAAACAAACAAAAAAACATTATCTCAGACACAGGCCACTTTAATGCTTAAAAAAAACTCTAAAAGCTACCTAAAAGAGATATTATGCTAGATTCTAAATCTTTTAAAAATATATACCACTGGAACATACACAAATTAAAACAATTTGCTTCATATATATAATATTTAATATTAATAGGCATATTATACATTATATCAGTTTCAATTAAGAATCTAGAATTTCATAGGGTTTTTCCTCTTTTTTTAAAATGATTTTTATTGAATTTTTTTTTAGAGAGCGAGGGAAGGCAGGGGGGAATGAGGGGGGGAGAAAAACATCAATGTGAGAAAAACATCAATTGGTTGCCTCTGGTACACACCCAGACCAGGGAGTAAACTCGCACAACCTGGGCATGTGCCCTGAATGGGAATCGAACCGGCAACCTTTCAGTGCATGGAAGAATGCCCAACCAACTAGGCCACACTGGCCAGGGCTCTTTTTTTATTATTATTATTATTATTATTATTATTATTATTATTATTATTATTGATTTTAGAGAGAGATGAAGACAGAGGGAGAGAAAGAAACATCGATGTGAGAAACATCAATCAGCTGCCTCCTGTACACACCCTAACCGAACCCGAAACCTGGGTACGTGCCCTGATTGGGAATCAAACTGGCGACTTTTCAGTGCATAGGACAATGCTCAACCAACTGAGCCACATTGGCCAGGGCAAGTGTTTTTCCTCTTTTTAATGAGATGGCTATGCTCAAGTCTTATCCTCATGTCCAAGTGATAAAGAACACGCATAACACACTACAATTCCCTGGAATCTCTCTTCAGAGGTTGCAAATTCAACAGAACTGAATATGGCCCATAAATATGTTCTGTTTGGGCAGAAAAGTTCTTTAAAAGTTGAATATATTTATATGAGACGTGTACTCTCCAGTACAACTTCTGTCCCAACATTTTTACTTTCCTACATCCAGCCCCACTTATTCATGTTTGTTATCTGCTTAACCCCAAGAGTAACTTTGGTTTGAGGCCCCCACCATATAGCATTATTTTTATTATTAAAGTTATACTTGGGTTCCTTTTACATAAAATTTCCTTCTGAAATTCTATATCATATTTCAATACATTTATATTGGAAATAGATATTTTCCCTTCTCTTTCAATCTTCCTGATTTGAGGGCTAGCACTTAACTAGTTCTGTATGGATTTTCAGAATGATGACATAGCAACTCTATTGCAAGAGATGGTGGTTTATTAATGCTATTATTAATTCACACATAATTGTATGACAGAATATACATTACTAATAGCTGGATAAAGGCTTATGATCAAGTGTCAGGAATCTTTCCTTTTTTTCAAGTTAATAGTTTTGCTCGAAATTATTAATGTTTGGCAATATTTCTTCTGATTAAACTGTTTGATCCTTTTACTAATCACACACATGTACATACACACACACTAAAAAATACAATCCTACTTCAAGAATAAACATGTTAAAGTTTACATGCCTTATATGGATAAACCAAAGTGATGCTGGTGGATCTGAAACTATGTATTAGAATTTTGTGTGAAATATTATGTCACTGATAAAAAAACTTTTTCTTCCACAGCTAATTCTACAAACATATATGTGGCAAGAGTATACTAAGGGAAAAGTTGGTACAACTCTTTCAAGTGATCATTTTCTATGTGGCTATGCCCAAGCCATCTATTAATGATAAATTAAAAGACTCTTTACCTGTCAGGACCTGAGTCCAGGCACTCAAAAGTTTCATACTTCTCTTGAAGAAGCTGATGACAATACTAATCCCTGCACTGTGTAGGGAGGTGCATTCCTTGCAATGGCTTAAGTGCTAGTGATTTCACCAACCCTTGAAGTGCAGAACAGTAAAAAAACAGTTTTCAGCCGTTTTTCTTACTGATTTCTCATTTAAAATATTACAAAGTAAGATCTCAAGTAAGTTTTAAAATAAATTATTTCTGTTTAAAAGGCAGTGCATTAGTTTAAAGAGACACATGCCAATAGATCTTTCTGAGTTACTGCACATATCACAAGTCGGCCTTTTTCATCAATTAAAAACTTATACAAAGAAGCAACAAATTTATGCTTTCAAATAATTTTCTGATTTACCTTAAAGCACCAAGATTTGGTGGCTACAGATATGTAAATCGGTCTTGCAGAAGGCACTCAACAGTATAAATAGGTAATACATGAGATTAGCTGGGTTAATAAATTGTATCTCTCCTACTGACTCATTTGTTCCTGTGATCAGCATACAGCCTTGGGAGGAGCTGGCAGTCAAATTCATAACTACTAGTTTATAAAGAAACAACACATTACACTCTCTCATAAGATAAAAATGAAAAATGCTGCCCTGGCTGGCATGGTTCAGTGGTTAGAGCGTTGGCCTGCACACCCAAGGGTCAATGATTCGATTCCAGATCCAGGGCACATACCTGGGTTGCAGGTTCAACCCCCGGCCCTGGTCAGGGTGCATGCAGGAGGCAACCAATTGATGTGTCTCTCTCACACTGATGTTTTTCTCCCTCTCTCCTCCTACCCCCCTCCCTTCCACCTTCTCTGAAAATCAATGGAAAAATATCCGCAGGTGAGGATTAACAACAAAAAATAATACTACTATGTCCAAAGGCAAAATTAAGTTATACATATCGATCGATCGATAGATATCTGAAAGGCCAAATCTATCTTTGTTTCTGACTGAAATCATAAAATGCCAAATTCATATAACTTCCCATTCTCTTATAGTCCAAAATAAAAAGGGCTTACACAGGATTCCAGGATTTTCCTTTTGCTGTAGGAGAAATGGGTTAAGAAATGTACCTTAGCTAGTTCTAAAGAAAATATTTTATGTATCTAAAAATATTTAATGTTTTATTTGAATTCTCTCCAAATCCTCTTCACTTCCTCAAAGTTTTCATTTCTCTTCTGACCCTCTTAGTGAGAACACTAACACTACTTTCTTGAGATTCAGATCATTATGAGCTTGGCACCATCCAACACATTTAAGTTCTCAGAATTCTTACTTGACATTTTAGTAGAGGAAGATAAAAAACAAAACTGAGCTGAAATCATGCCAGTTGGATGGTGCACATTTCTTTTACTATCTCTACCTATCTGGACACCATTAAAAAACCCTATTTTGAATTTAGATGTTCCCTACCTACAACAAAGAAAGCTTGCCTTGATATGCTTGGCTAACGTGCTTCCGTTTTTCTTCAGTTAAAGAAATTAAATAATCTCTCTTACATTTACCAGTTTTTTAAAAGTTGGCATGCATTCAAAGTCCATTTGAAGGATCTGTTTCTCTAACTTAAAATCACAGCAATTTGATCTCATTTACAATCAACTGAACATAAGTACTTCTTGGCAATAATATGCTCAACTGCTACTTACTTTTGTCTTTCTATGGTTAAGATAATTTAAGAAAAATTCATGAAATAAATATTGCCAAGCCTTAAAATGTTACTTGTATACTTCCTTTCAGTATAATGTAAAGGAGAGGGGAACCAGCAATACAAAATGTAAATTAATGCCCAGCCGGGCGTGGCTCAGCAGTTGAGCATTAACCTAGGATCTAGGAGATCACGGTTCAATTCCTGGTCAGGGCACATGCCCGGGTTACGGACTCGAACGCAGGAGGCAACCGATCAACGACTTTCTCATCACTGATGTTTCTATTTCTCCCTCTCCCTTCCTCTCTGAAATCAATAAAGATACATTTTAAATTAAAAAAATAAATAAGTAAATTAAAAGGTCAAATTTCTAACTTATTTTATATCAAATGAGAAGACTTTCTAAGAGGAAGTCTCAGAGTAGTAGAGACTAACCAATAAATCATTTTGACAAGGAATGTCAAGGGGAAGCAAAAAATTAAAAGAAACTCAGCTCCAGTATTAACATATCTGTGAGTTTATGACAAACTTGATAACTTAAAAGAATGTAGCTTATGTAGAAATGTTTATGCCAAAACTAATTACTAAATGTAATCCTTACTGTAATTACAAGATCTAAAATAGTTCTCACTTTAGCCCGGCCGGGCGTGGCTCAGCGGCTGATCATCAACCTAGGATCCAAGAGATTGGGGTTTGATTCCCGGTCAGGGCACATGCCCGGGTTGCAGGCTAGGCAGCCGATCAATGACTCTCATCATTGACTCTCTCTCTCTCTCCCCCTCCTCTCCTCTCTCTGAAATCAATAAAGATATATCTAAAAATAAATAAATAAATAAATAAATAAATAAATAAATAAATAAAATAGTTCTCACTTTAAAGGTGTTCACTGAGTTCCTACACACTCTATACCATGTTTCCTTTTAATCTATTCTTCTCTGTGACTAGCTCCATCACGTAGCTTCTAACCTTCATATTTTATTTCATGAAGCAAATATTTTTCTCTCAGTTGTGAGTAAGGCTTATCTCAATTTTAATCTATAGTTCAAGAGGAAAAAAATTTTTAAGAAAACTACATATGAATTCCCCTTGATGAGCTTTTCATGTTCAAATTGCTTAATTTTTAAAATAACTCTTTAGTTTTATATGCATGGTATTATATTTATTTTACACTTAAAAAGGTGATATGTCTAGAGTCACAAAATAAGTTAATGTTTAAAGTAGAATTAAAATTGTGACATTCCTTTTATCTCACAGTACAGATTACACTATTCAAATATTTCCATGAATATCTAAAAAATTTCCTATTTCTAAAATAACAAACATTGATAGCTTAACCTAAAAATGCATATTTATTCACACACACAAAATCACACACAAATACAGGGTGGGGCAAAAGTAGGTTTACAGTTGTTCATATGAAAAATAATACAATAATTAATAAATACAAGAATAAACTCTGTTTCACATATTCAACTGTAAACACCTACTTTTGCCTCACCCTGTACATATCATACACACACAAATAGGGACAGCAAATTAAAATGAAAAACAGCTCTTACCTTCATCTCCCTCTGGTACATATGAAGCTGTAATAATGTCAATATCAGCACAATTCATCACAATCTGATTGGTTGCCTGCCTCACCTAGGGGGAAAGAAAAACCAACAGTGTCATAAATAGCTTGATTAATAATATTTACATCTTCATCTTGGCCTAATGTATGTTGTGGGCATACTTTTTTAAACCCAGACATCACTAAAACCTAAACTTTTTATCCATTAATGGTAGAAATAAGTAAGTAGTTTTAAGTAATCCAAAGCAATTCACATTATATTAAAGCAATAACAGATGGATAAGTATTTCACAGAATTTAAATATCTGACCAGTTAGCTAAAAGAAAAGCACTTTTTTGGTACTTAAACCTTGATTTATAACTACTTCTTTTTTAAATTTTATTTCTTATACGTTGCAATTAATTATATATTATGCAACCCTTGAAACTCATCATGAGATCTTTTATAAGAATGGAGGAAGAAAGTCAGTATCATAAACTATGTCAGAACTTCATAAAACACTCTTTAAATTTTTTATTTTCCCAAAGAAACATTTTGGATATAACAGACACTAGTGACTCACCACCAAGACTAAATAAAGTTTTATTTAGGGCTTTGTCTTGCTTTAAATCCAAAAAATAAGTAAAATATAGAAATAATAAAAGTCCTTTCCTCTCTTCCTCATTCCCTGGAGATAACCACTATTCTACGGCTAATGTATTTAGTAGTTTTGATACATGTATAAAAATCAGCAATGTTTTCAATTTTATATAAATGGTATCAAATTGTGTATATAACCTTTTACAACCTGCTTTTTTCATTTAACATTGTTTCTGAGATGGGTAAATGCTGATAAATGTATATCTAATTCATTCATTTTAACCCTAGCATAGTAGTATTCCATTCTATAAATAAACCAGTTATTTATCCATTTCCTTCCTGAAGGAAGTTAAGTTAGTTCTACTTTTTTGTTATTTAAAATAGTACTATAATGCCCAGCCGGGCGTGGCTCAGTGGTTAAGCGTCGACCTAGGATCCAGGCGATCAGGGTTCGATTCCCGGTCAGGGCACATGCCCGGGTTTGCGGGCTGCAGCCGATCAATGGTTCTCTCATCATTGATGTTTCTCTCTCTCTCTCTCCCTCTCCCTTCCTCTCTCTGAAATCAATAAAGATATATTTAAAAATAAAGTAAAATTTAAAAAAATAATAAAATAAAATAGTACTATAATATCTTGATCCATGTTTTCTTTTTCTTTTTTTAAAGATGTTTTTATTGATTTCAGAGAGGAAGGGAAAGGGAGAGATAGAAACATCCATGATGAGAGAGAGTCATTGATCAGCTGCCTTCTACAAGCCCACTACTGGGGATTGAGCCCAAAACCCGGCATGTGCCCTGACCAGGAATCAAACCATGATCTCCTGGTTGGTAGGTCAATGCTCAATCACCGAGCTACACCAGCTGGGAGATCCATGTTTTCTTGTGCACATGTTTTCTTTATCAAGAATTGTCAAATTACCCTCCAAAACAATCTCAACTGGCACTCCCATGAGCAAAGAATAAAGAAATCCCATTTTCAGCATCCTCCAAAAACACTTTAAAATTGTTGACAATCTGATAGGTATTAAATGGAATTCCACTGTTGTTTTAAGTAGAATTTCCCTGAGAACTAATAACATTGATTACTAAGCATTTAAAAAAATGTTTGCCATTATGTTTTTCCTCTGCAAATTGCTTGTTCATAGCCCTTGTCCATTTTTCAATTTGGTTGTAATCTTGTTTTCATATATTTGTTGCGTTACATAAAATCTCAAATTCATTTTCAGATATCTGAATGGTCTAAATCTAAAATAACAAAAATATAGATACCCTAAATGACAAAGAAATGCCTGCAGAGGCTAGTCAAGCAGATGAGTGAAATAGGCTGGGTGAAAGGTATGCATAAAGGAAGGCTATGCACAAGGGAGGGGGAAGTAGCTTCCCCCTCTTTTTAGAACCAACTTTTTAGAACCAACTAATAATTGCTGAACTGTAAAGCAGACTTAGTGTTGACAGATCTTCCCATTTTAAAAAAGCCACAAATTCAGATTTCATGTGCAATCTCCTAACTTTAATTGATGACAAGTAATTCAAAAATTTCAAAAACACTGCGTAGACCAAACAAAACCCATATGTAGATCCATAGTGCCTTGAGATCACTGAACAGACCACAAAACTAGGTAAGGATACAGGAGTAATGTAATATCTGTATGAAAAACCTATACCTCATAATAATCATTTTATTAACAACCCCATACATAGACATGATTAATTTTAAACTAAAATTGTCTGACCTATATTGCAGGTAGTATCTTATCAAGCCTATAACAGACTGTCAAAATCTCTAGCACACAGTGTTGGTTCATTATATATTTTGGCTCATTAAAAAAAAAAAAAAATCCTTCACCCTGGCTGGGTGGCTCAGTTGGCTGGAGCATCCTCCTGTACACCAAAAAGGTGGTGGGTTCTATTATGGTCAGGGCACATATCTAGATTGCAGGTTTGATCCCTGGTCAGGGTGCATACGGGAGGCAGCCGATCCATGTTCCTCTCACATTGATGTTTCTCTCTCTCAAAATCAATAAAACCATATTCTCTGATGAGGATTAAAAAAAAAAAAAAATCCTTTTCATAAATCAAATCTTGTTCCTAACAAAAAATGTCATTTAATAAACATATTTTTTTAAATTTAGTAAGTGATAATATTCCTTCACAGTGTTTATTTCACCAGAACACATCTAAACAGCACTAAAACTTTTATGCCCCAACTGGCCATTTATAGCACTACATTTGAACAACAACAACAAAATTTTTGCCTATTCATAAAAATGACTTTTTAAAAAATCAGAAACAGAGAAATGAAGCACTTACTGGGTGTTCTCCAAAGAGTAAAATGAATCAAAACCTTCCAGAGTTTGAAGTTTATGCCAACAGAATAATAACAGGAGTTTAGTTATGCATCTTAATCTTTATGTAGACAACCATATTTTCATTCAGCAACATCTACAGTAAATTTAATGGTAGCCAAGTGGTTAACCTACCAATGTCAGGATGCCTGTACAACACTACATATGCCAAATTATACTATTTATCTCACTACTATTATAACATTCTGAGAGAAAGTGTGTACTTTGGAAAGGCACGGTGCACAACATCCAGTTACAAGTACATTCCAATTCCTCCTGTGATTAGGGAAAGCCCAACTGTTTATACTAATGAATTAAGCTACTGTTGAACAGCTACTAATTTTTTTCCAAGAATATTGCCATTTCTGGAAGGGAAGCAGGAAAGGAACAAAGGGACAAAAATACTTAATAGAATTACACTCACATTTTAAAAAATCAGACAATATATTGTCTCATATTAGAGATGCACTTAAAACAACAGGATAATCCATAGAAAGTGCCTGTTGTAGCATTTAGTGCCTAATACCCAGTAATCACTGAATAGATATTATTAAGGAACACACACAAAGACCAAGATTAAATGTGCTCTAATCATAAAGAAGTTACTCTGAATATCATCTAACAGCATTCACCTAAGTTTATAAAGTGCCTGATCAGAATGATATAAAATTTAAGAACTATGTACTGTAATATATAGCACTTTGGATATCAGCATATATGCACTGCTCAAGAGAGGTAATTTAAAATATCCAGCCTGACCGGGTGTGGCTCAGCGGCTGAGCATCAACCTAGGATCCAGGCGATTGGGGTTTGATTCCCAGTCAGGGCACATGCCCGGGTTGCAGGCTCAATCCTCAGTTGGGGGGGGGGTGCAGGAAGCAGCCGATCAATGACTCTCTCATCATTGACGTTTCTATCTCTCCCTCTCCTTTCCTCTCTCTGAAATCAATAAAGATATATTTAAAAAAATTTTTTAAATCTCCATAGACTTATGCGTGTGCTTAAGTGTTTGACTACTACAATAGAACACTGCTTTTTTTAATGCTTTCCCAACAATAGCACTGACCTGATGATTCTGTGTGTGATTTCTCACATATTAACATCATCATGTTAGTGCATTTTTACCTGTGTGTTCCACTATTAAAAATATAGGTAATAATGCAAAGGAATTTCAACATTAAGGTCTTCAGTTTTCAAGCTTAAAAGAGAGCAAAATGTTAAAGTTGGCATATAAAATTGTGTTAATAATAAGCTCATTTTCAACTTTTCCATTTGATGCTATTAAAGAATGGAATGTTAGTGCATTCTTTGTTTCAAACCCAGGGTTTTAAGTCTTCTTGGAGTCTCATACAAACTGCACTTCAACAGAATCAAAACTAAATAATGGCTGTACTGAAGAGACAGCTTGACCATTTGTAAGAATTTTACAATAGAAGTTTCCTATGAACTAGGAAGGCAGCAAAGACATCTTTTTTCCTGAATGAGTCTTTACTACAATCATTCAGAAATACACGTTACGTGTACTATAATAAGACTCGGGATTTTTTCTGATTGCCAAAGTCCTGAGATTTTAGTATAAGGAAATCTCCAGTGTGACGATTCCAAATACCAGTCAGTCTGATGTCTGAGTCACTTTGCCTAACAAGCAATTTCATCATTAAAATTTTGTAATAATTGTTGTCTTTGTGGAACAAGGCTATAGTTTCTAAAGACAATAAGGAGCAAATAATTAGTAAACACAAGTTGAGCCAAGTTTTCTAACAAAAGAGACATTGAAAGAGCACATTGCAGAAATTCATAATAAGTACCATTAATGTAAAAATGTTAAACATACAGAACATTGCTATTTATTGTCTGTGGCTACTTACATATATGATAAAACTTTAAAACTATACATAGGAATAATACTCATCTACCTAAAAAGAAAAGTTACCTCTGGCTATGGATGGGTGAAAGAGATGGAAATGGGCCTCAGGGTATCTGTGACATTTCATTAACCCCTCCTCCAAAATCATGCACAGTCTGAAGCAAACAGGGCAAAATATTAATATCTGCTAAATCTAGGTGGTGGGTTACTTTTCCATACTTCTAAAATATGTCCTAATTTAAAATAAAAATTTAAAGTGATTACAAGTAGCCAAATAAATTGAGAACTAC